TCGATAAGCATAGTAGGGAATGCTCTTGGGAGTAGATTGTTAGATAAATCAATACATTGGCAATTGTTGAGGAATATATTGAATTTGTGTATGAAATTATTATTTGTCCACTATATTTATTATCTTTGTTGTAAAGTTTTGTAAGATTTCCGAGAAGTTGATCGATATTATAACTCTTAATAGTGGATTTGGGAAGTTCTTTTGATACCGTAACTGTATTCCTAAATCACCTCTGCCTCCTCTTCTCATATTGCCTTGTCCGTCACCGTTCCATTCCTACTATTTCTATTCCTATTATATCCATTACCATTTTTATTTCTATTATATCTATTTTGTAGGAAATTGTTTTTTTTCTACCTCCATTACCTTTTCTGCTCTTACTTAATCCATCATCATTATTGGGCGGATGTGAAGGACTGTTATAAAAGGATTCAATTCTACCTTAGAATCTAAAACTAAAGAAGGAAGAAAAGAATAAGAAGAGAATTGTAAGGGCTTTGGACTATATATACCAATGAGTCATGTGCTAGACTAAGGTCCTAGAAGCTAATGATTGAGAAAGGAACCTGAAAGGGACTGAATCGTCACAGCGGATTACCAAATAATTAACCACCTTTTTTTATTGATAATGATATTAATCGTGGTGATAATGGATTGGATTACCGAAAAGGTTTTTCCAATCGAAAAAGTCTAAAAGTATTCTGAACTGTTTTTAATAGTAATAATTTATTCCGATTATAATATTAGTATGCAATTAATTTATTGGGTCACTACTTTCTTATTAAGGTAGATCTGGGTATATATTCTTTGGTGCTGATAATACTTTTTGTTAGTATCAATATTCTTTCCCTTGGTATATAAAGGCTTAAACCTTAAAACAATCTCGATTTGCGGTAGAGTAATTAGTATCTGCAGTAATCGATATCAATTAAAATTAGATAGTTTGGGCTGATTACTCACTTAAGATATTTTGAGTTTTTTTAGTAATTTATATGTTTGTATATCTTTTTCATTTATTCTTTTCTATATGCTTTTCGATTGAAATATAAATCCCTTATCCACGAAAGCATCCTCAATCTCTTTATCAGATCACTTCCTATATAGTAATTGAACTATATCAACTAAAGTATTATAAACAGATTGTATTATACATATTTTGTGTTTCGCAATAAATACACTGCACGAATGTAGTTTGTATTTAAGCTTATATAAAAGATTTATACTGATTGCTTGAAAAGCTTCTGAATTGAAATATTCAAATATACAAAAGTAATCCAACTATAGCTTACTATTATAATAACTCGATTATTGATATTTATAAAGTTTATATTTGTAAAAATCTCTAATCTTTTTTATACCTACTTTCTTTATAAAATTAATTGGGTTTTCTTATTATCTCTCAGTTATTATATTAAAATTATCATTTATAATAACTACTAATATAATTAACTTTACCACACTCCTGATATTATCGTTAAAACTTAGGCTTATGCTCTGTAGAGTTGTTTTTATATAATCTTACCATATTAATAAATAGCAGGTAGATAATAAGGTAAGATGTATAAATATAATTTTGCCAAAATCTGGCAAAGTTATATTTAGTTATAAAAGATAGTGCTTAGTTTGAGTTAATAATTACTGGTTTGTATTCTTCAACACCATTGCCTTAAAGAATAAAATATAAACTAAGATTGAATATAAGGGTCATCACCACATTACCGATTAAACTCGGTTTTTGTTAGTATTAAACTACATTAAATTAATACTAAATATAAGAACTACCGCTATATTGCCGACAATCTTATTACACAAAAACAAGTATCAAACCATATTGCTTGATACGAAAGCTTATATTTTGTTAGAGAAATACTAATTTTAATTACAAACCTATGTTACATTTGAAATTAAATGCCAGACTCCTAATCTATAATATTACTGATTAGTATTGGTATTACTATAAGGATGGTGGAAGGACAATATAATACTATGGTTCACATTATTATAATATTGCTTGAGGTTCTAAAAGCTAAAGGCTACGAAACGTACGATATAGTGCGGGGGCGCTAGCGCACGCGCTAGCGTGGTCATATAATCCCTGTCCCAACAGTTTGGTAGATTAACTGAATAAGCTGTTTCGTTGTGGTATTGATTGTATAAACATATTGATATTTCGAATTGATCAGTTTCTATAGTTTGTATACTAGATTCAGAATCTTTGGATTTATTATTAATAGAATAAGGAAACTTTAAATAATATAATAATAAGATATCAGTTTGTTGGTAGATGAGGTTCGTAGGAGTGGAGCTAGGGAGAGGTCTTGATTGAAGGTTGTATGAATAATTGTATTGGGGGAGTGGGTATAAAAAACAATAAGTATTCGACAAGCGGACTAGCAATAGGAAGCTTTGTAGGAACGATTAAGAGCTTAAAAAATTTATATGAATCTTAGTATAATATAACGATTACATCATTTAGAATACTAAGGTAAAGAGCTAGAAGAGCTCTTCGGAAGGAAGTGGTAATATACAGGATTGTGAATCACGTGAGGACCTAGCCGATCCACTAATATGGCAGGATCGTCACATTGATGCTCGTAACGTAATGTTTTTATTAATGTTGGATATTATAACGTGATTTATCAGTGTGCGGGTCATATTAGTATGCGAATCATTTTCACCTCAATTCACTCTCTCCTCTTTCAATACGCGTTTTTATCAATAATCCATAATAAATTCGAATAATCAAGAAGCCCGTATACTCCTCGCTATTGAAGTTATTCAAAAAAACAAAAAAAAAAAACAAATATTCAAAAGATTGTAAAGATATATAATATCTTGAATACGATATTACAGCGTAGAATTAATAGTATTATTTCCCATTTCCGAATATCAATCTAAATCTTATAATCTTTCAGAACTAGAAGAGAATATTATTTCTGAATATATAATTGATATGGATATAAAAGGATTTCCATCTAAATTAAGAAATATAAAAGATATAGCAAATTATATTCTTGAATCGAGGGGTGCAAAGCATATTGGGAAGCTTTGGGCATATCGATTCGTAAAGCAATCGAATCAAATTAAAAATACGTTTTAATTATATTTATAATTTTCAGAGGGCTTTTTATAAAGATCCTAAACTTATTGAAAAGTGGTTTCAATTAGTTTTGAATATGCAAGCGAAATACGGTATTCTCAATTGCGATTTCTACAATTTCAACGAAATAGATTTTATGATAGGTATAATATGCCCTGGAATAGTGATAATTAGTGCTGAACGAATGGTAGAAGTAAGGCAATACAATCAGGCAATAGAGAATGGGCTACAGTGATTATATGTGGTAATGGGGAGGGTGAAACTATACCCCTATTTCTAATGGTTTAAGGACAGGTTCATCTTTCCAATTGATATACCGAAACCGATTTTCCTGCGGATTGGGTTATTAAACCTATATCTAATGGATGGACAAATAATGAGATAGATTTAGAATAGTTGAAATACTTTGATAGTATATTAAAAATCAAAGAAAGGGTAAATATCGAATATTAATGCTAAATGGGTATAAAAGCCATGAATCAAAAGCTTTTTCAAGTATACTATAAAGAGAATGATATTATATATTTATGTTTATTATTGTATTCAAGTATTTAATTCAATTACTTAATGTAAATTGTTTTAGTAATCTGAAATGTTTTATATAATAATCAAATTGATAGATTTATCAAGGTATATATTAATTATATCTTGAAGATTAAATTCTTTATAGCTTTTAAACTGTATACAAAGAATCAATTACCTTTTAGAATATGAAATCAGGGTTTCAAGGAACAGGTTTAATATTATTTAACCCTAAAGCTATACTTTTGAAATTAGATATTTGAATTTGTACATCTACCCTCCCCTCTTCGATCTAGATTAATGAATCTCTCAAACCCCTTATAATTCAATTAAAGCTCTTTCTCAATCAATTTTTAATGAAATCTCGAATAATCCAATATCAATTAAACTCCCCTAACACCTATATTTGAGATTGTAACTAACTCTAGCTAAAGATATAAAGAGATTAGCTTATAAGAATATACTTTTAAATACAGAGATCCATATATTTTGAATAGCGAATAAGGCATTAAGCAAACATCGACACACAAAAAAAACCTAATTATATCAAGGAGAAATATTTACTAAATAAAAAGCTCTTAATATATTATCTCAACAAAAGATTGATATTCAGATTCAATATGATAAACATCAAAAAGGAAGGAATTCTAATAGAGAAGTATTTTCTAATTAATATTATAATAAATACAGAAAGGACTGAATATAATACAAAAAATTTATCAAGATAATATAATAGATTTAGATTATTATAATTTTTATAGTTTTAAATCAATTGATTCAATAATTATTGAATAATATAAGTTTGAAAGAGTGAATAAAGGTGAAAGTGATCCGCACACTGATATGACCCGCATACTGATAAATCACGTTATTATTTCTATATTATATTTGCGGATTTATATCTCGTATCTCGTATCTTATATTTTATATTCCATACTATAATAAATTATTATTCTATCCTATCCTCTTCTGATAATCATTTCATCATTTCGTCATTTCATTATTTGATATCCCTTCTATATACATACATACATATATACATACATACATACATATCATCCTGTTATCATGTCATCCATCATGTTATCATGTTATCATGTTATCGTGCCATCATGCCATTCTATCTTTATTCTTAACTCCCATTCCCGTTTCGTTTATTTCGTTTGATTTTATTTCATTTTATTTCATTCTTATCCATTCATTCCTATCCATTCATCTCATTATCCTCTCATCATAATTTCATCCCCTCCATTCATTTCCTTCATCTTCATCTCATTCTCCTTCATCTTCATCTCATTCTCCTTCATCTTCATCTCATTTTCCCACTTTCAATCCTCCCTCATCCCATTCTCCTCCATTCATCCCCATCTCCCCAACCCTAAAACCCCTCCGCAGCTTCACTCAACACTTCCCACAACCCCCGCCGCCGCACCCCCCAACACCCCCACCTATCCCCCCGCCGCCGCGAGATGATCCCGCCATTTACTCGTACCCGAAGTTGTATTTGTACTCCGCCGTTTCCGGAATTTTGTCTCCGCGGCTCTGAAGAGCGGGGATCTGAATCGCGAGAACGGCGGGAGCGAGAATGATGGGAATGGGAACGCGGAGAGCGGGAATGGGAATGGGAATGTGAATGAGAATGAGAATGCGAATGATGGCGTCGAGAATTGTGCGGGGGATAAGAAGGATGAGATGGATTGGGTATATATGTATGTGTGTAAGGAGAAGTGCTTTGTGAAGGAGGATAGGGAGGTGAGGAGCCGGATGGAGATGTAGAGTAAGGAGCGTAGGGATTTGGTGAGAGATATTGATTTTGATTTATTTGTGGGGGAGGTCCTTGTCCTTGAGGATAGGGAGGTTGAGGAAATTGATTTTGTATTGGATAGGGGGGTTGCTGTTGTGGAGGTGGTGGATATCCTTGTTGGGGATGATTTTGTTGTCCAGGAAAAGAACCCAGAGGTGCGTATCCATTTGGTGTTTGGTTTATTCCGGGTATATCCATACCTCTTCCTGGAAGTGGATTATTTGATGCAGAATATGGCGAGGAAGAGAAATGTTGAGGCTGAGGTTGGGGTTGTGATTGAGGAGCAAAAGTATAATTTGCTTCACGATCTCTTTCTCTGCGATTATATCTTTCCGATCTTCCTTTTCTTTCTCTTCTTCCTCCCCTCTCTTCCCATTCATCACCTCTTCTACCTTTTCCTCTTGCATCCCCATTTCTTTTCTCACCACGTCTTCTATGCTCATTCATATCTGAATCAGAATCCGAGCTCATCTCCGAACTAGAATTAGAACTGCAAGAAGAACTCTCCTCATCCTCTGAGTTTCGTCTTCTACTTCTTTCACTTCTTTCCCTTCTCTCCCTTCTTTCTCTCTGCTCGGGATGATTTCTCCACCAACGCTCTTCTCTCAAAACATGCGAGCGCTCAGCATATTGTTGAATTTCCTCTTTCGTTAGAATTCCCAAGATAGCTACGAATTCTGGTCGACTATTTGTATATAATTATTAGTATCACAATACATTATATCATATTTATCATATAGTTTTCTTTCCCTTCTCTCGATATTTATTATATACTCATCCTGAGAACAAAAAGGAATGATGGATAACTTACGCTTCGAATCTTCTCCCATCTCTCATCAATACTTCTGGTGATATCAAAGATCGTTTAACCTTTGTCCATTTTGCATCTTGAGGAATTTCGTGGCCGGATGAATCAGGTGCAATTTTTGATTTTAAAATAGAAGTAGGAATGGGAATTGGAATGGTGGAATCGTGGGGATTATTTCCACTACTAAGTGTAGGTTTGTGATTTTTTGATGATTCATCAGGAAGATCGAATCGAACACCACTTGTACGCGGTGATGATTTCTGGACTGGGTCCGAGCTATGTTTTGGTCGAAGTGTCATTGTTTCCAATTGAGGTGATGGTATGTTTTTGTTGGGAGGTTCATTAGGATATGAGTACGAATTTGAATTTGAATTCCAACTTCCCGGAGAAGACGGTGGAAGAAGTTGAGGATTACTTGTTGTGAAGCAAGGAAGCAAAAGAAGATCCGAGGTTTGAATTATTGAAGTATTATTATGATTCGAATTGACTGGATATCGTGACATCGTCTGATGCATGAATGACGTATCATCCTCAGAGTTTAATTTTGAGCCGTTAATATCCTTTCCGCATTGCGATTCTGATATATCGAGATCTGTGGTTGAGACTTTGGGAGTTAGAGGAGGTGATAATTGTCGATGAGGAGTTGAAGATATATTTTGTCCGGGGTATGGATATGAGTCGACGAGAGATTTGGGTTTGGGTCTTTGGAATTTCATCGCTGGAGGGAATTTTATATTGTCTTCTCGTTGGATCATTTCTTTTGCTCCAGAGTCATTGCGTCCTAAATTGATATTGGCATTATCGAATGAAGCTGGTGCTACTTGTGTATGAGGTGAATCGGAATGTGTAGAGTCCCATCGTTCTTTATGAGGAGTTCTTGGACTGGTTTGAGGTGTAGATGCAGATGGATTTTCGATTAGTAGCCCGTCTTGTTCCATTTGTCGTATATATGCAATTAAAACATCCTGGAAGTTTGTTAGAAAGAAGCAATTGTCCTACCACATTGAAAGATCCAAATACCTTATGCCGTTCCAAAACTACTCTATTAAACCCCTCTTCAACTAGATTCCTCCTAAACCATTTCCAAATCTGCAAAGTATCCTCCTCATCTTCATTCTCAGAACCCATCATTTGTAAAGTCCCAACCCTTCGACTCCTATCCGCTGCAATATCATCCACCTTATCCAACAACATATCCAATTCTCCCTTTCCGTCTGCTTCCTCTGCTTCCTTTGCGTCTCCGTCTTCATCTTCGTGTAGTAGCGAATCGAGAAAATGCGATGTATTCTTCTTATGCGAAATCAACCTCACTCGAATCCCACCCAATTGATCCATCTCATTACTTCCCAACCTTCCCCCTCCATTCCTCCCATATCTCCCCAACAATCCATCAAGTTGTCTCAGGGTCCCCTCACAATCCCCAATAATCCCCTCCACACTTTCCCAATTCCCCTCGTCCCACTCCCCATTCCTCTCTTCCTCCTCTTCTTCAACTCCCTCAAAACCCCATACAAACCCTTCACTTCCCGTCGAATCTCCTCATATTCCGCCCCCGCCTCTCTACATTTCCGATGCACATCGCGACAAAGTATCGATACTTTTCTGATATCTGATGATGTTCCAACACTCATTTCGTATCTCATTCAGCGCTCAATATTCGACTTCAAATATGCTATCCCAAATCTCGAATCTCGCACTTCGATGTCGCAAGCGATTCTAAGGTTCGAGAAGGAGAGAAAGAAAGAGGGAGAGATCAATTATACACCCATCCCTTTGAACCCAAAAAGTGGCAAAGCAAAATAATTAATCAATCAAATTAAAATGATGAAAGATATGCGAGTGTGCGTGTGTGTGCGCGATATGATGTGTTGTACTCTCTTCCTGCTTTCATTTACTTTGCTCTGCTGCAGCGAAGTGGATATCTTTTCTTTCTTTCCTGCTGAGTTCTCTGTCTGATAACCTATGATGATAGCTCCGACGTAACGAACCACTCCACTTTATTATACCCCGCAATGTTTTTCTTGTCGAATTCCCAGATTTCTAATCGTTGATTGTGCCGAGTTTCGAGTTTCGAGTTGCGGAATTCGTATTGATGTATCCGTGTTTTGTTAATGATTACTTGAGGAAGTAGGTAGGTATGCACCGTGGCATGTATGTATGTATATAAAATACCGCTTCAAAAATACAAATTCACAATCACCATAATCAATATAATTCATTCAGATCCGATACTCAATACTCAGTACTCAGTACCCAAACAAAACCAAGACCAATAAATCAATAAAATGGAGAATAAGTTTTAGAATAATAAACCTCCATCCCTTAGAAGCTGCATAGAAGAATAATCGAAGCCATCAATCGAGGCGGAGCTGAACAAATGGGTATCGGTAGAATAGGTAACGATTTAAGAAATCTCTCTCGAACTACCGCTTGCCTCAATGAACCATACCATATCATACCATACCACACCAGATCCAGAAACCGATAATCATATTCCAATCCGTTCATCCATCCAAGATTCCAAGTGACGTCGCGGGAATGAACATCCATCCATCTCTCCACCTATCCTATCCTATCCGTCTCTCCGTCCATCCAATCCATGAACCATCCCTCCCTCCCTTCATCATCCACCCAATCAAACACCACACGCCACAAACCCAACCCAACCAAGCATTCACAAAAACGGCTGAGAAGTTAAAATATGCATTAGAAGTTAGAACACAAGCAACACCTCAGAACACAATAAAAACTGGAGAATTCTTATCCCTAGTCACTCCCAGTTCTCAAACACAACAAACAGCAAAGCAACCCCAAATCTCATGAACCGCACTTTGTGGCGCAGTTCCCATCTCTCCATCAACCTCCATCAACCCACCCATCCACAGCGATCGCCGCAATGTCGCACCCACTGCGTAACCAAGGCGTGAGGCTCAGATGAAGGCTTATACAATTTCGTATCCACTCCAGCCGTGCGAACACCGAGCCGAGCTCCCTCTACAGAACCTATCATGCCGAGTTACCGCATCGTGTTGTAGAATATGTAGAAGGTGTGGAATATGATAGGATCGCTAAGCATGGGTTGACACATTTTTCTTGACGGTGCATTCAGGTTGCATGAAGGCGTCGGGAAAAGATGCTAGAATATATGTAGGTAATCAATGGTGAGATGTGGAGTGCAAGGCAGGGCAGGGCAAGACAGGGGAGGGGAACTCCGAAATCATGTCATGTGAATACTGTACTGGTCGTGTAGATAAAATTTGTACGAGGTCAACTTGTACGAGATATATGGTATATGGCATGAGCAAAAGAGGTTTTTGATTTTTATATCCTTCCAACCAATCAATCAACAATATCATTAAAATAATAAACCCTTCATCTTCAATGCTATTCTGATACTCCTTACAAAACAATTCTTTCTCTTGTATATTTTCCCACTTGTCTACTCAAGAGTCTTCCAATATCTCTCTTACTTCTCTTTTGAATTTCTCCTCCTGCACCTACACGAAGACGAGATATTTGTTTCTCGGCCTTGAGACCAATCGGTAATGTCGAGAGGTCTTTTTCTCCAGAGGGAAGTGTTAATATTGACTTTGCCATTCGTCCTGTGTCTTCATTGCCAAGGGTTTTAAGTACGGAATCCCCGTAACGGACCATCTCGGATGTTAATCCCTTGAGGTAAACGGCCGTTTCGATCCCTTCGAGTGCGGCACTGACTTCCATTTTCAATGTTCCATGAATGCTTCGATTCGGATTGATCACCATTGATCAATCTTGCATTTCCGGTCAACCAACCGCCAGCTGCACGAGCATCAATACAATTGTTGAGTAAGCTGGAGATGAGAATGATGGAGTTATCAGGTGCCTCAACTTCGTCATCATCCAATTCCAAGATATCAAGGTATCGACCTGTCCATCCACCTTTGGCCAATTCGACTCTCAAAATATAGATTAGTGATACCGTTTCTTGACTTGTAAAAGTTGTCTGTAAAGCTTCCGTAATGTTGTTGTCTGGACATGTATAGAGTTTCGAGAGAGCCACATTTAAGGCTTCACCTCTGACACCTGAACCTTCTCCTAATTGAAATTCGGCGAGTTGGAGATCATCTTCAGCCTCGGCTTCAAGTCTTTGTACTTCCTCTTCAGCATTATCATGTTCCAGGGGTGTGTCTTCCCCATTTGTCAGTAATGCTTGCTTTGGACTCGAAGAGTCTCCAAGTTCAAACAAATCCATAGTTTCCATTAACTTTTGAATAGCGTGAAGAAGTTCCGCTGCTCCAAGTAGATTGGATGAAACAAGATGAAGTAATAATTCCATTTCCCGGTCCAACTTAACAATAGCATTGACAAGTTGGCCAGCTGGTATTGGGCCAGAAAGTGAGGCTCGAATCTCTTGTCTCAATGCTGATTCGATATTAAGAATCGTCATGTTTCCTGTTTGAAGCAACCACCTGAAAAGTCTAGGAGGATAGAAAATAATAGAAAGCTCATACACCCCTTCCAGATTCTGAGACCAGCTAAAAATCTTACTTAGTGCATATAATATCCATCTACGATCGACTTCAGAAGGCTCTATCTTTGCAATCTTGTCTGCAGGATTTTCGGACATTTCAGTGCTCCAATCTTGGTCGAACTTGCTGCCTAAAGCCTTCTCGAAAGCTGCAGTATCTCCACTCTTGACACATCTCTCAGGTTCTCTCGTCACATTTACCCATGCATCTTCTTTCATGCCCATTGATCCAGGAAGGTAATGATCCACGAAAAGCCACTTTCCATGCGATGGCTCCTTTCCAGGCTTGGAGCGTACAACTTGTGGATCCGAGCAGCCAAGAGAATCGATCAATAGTCCAAATGCTCGAGATTTTGATCCTTGACCAGGTTGAAAATCCACTTGAACGGCAACGAGCTCATTATCTGAGATAGCTAAAACTGTCCCAAGTTTAGGGTAGTAAGAGATGAATTGAGCAGGAATATCCAATCGTGGTCTCTGCTTATCATCAGAGTCTCGTTTGCGTTTGAGTGATTCTTTGTTTGCCTCATCATCCAACTTGATGGTTGCTAACACAGATTCATATTTTGGGTTGAGAATGCTAATAGCTTGTTGATTTGACATGATTATAGAAGTGCTTGAAAGGCGAAGGAAGGAACCGGTACCAGGAGTGTTGATTTCGGATTGTATCTTTGGAAAAGTATCATGTAAATCCAAAGTTGTCAACACTTCCGCTTCCAGTATTTGCAAAATACCGGCGGAAACATTGATACCGAATGAAGCTTTTCCGACCGTTACTTTCTTCTTTGGAGCTTTGTGAATTGGTAGAGGGGCGTCGAGAAGAGATTCGACAGAATGTGTTGTGCCATTCAAATATGTCGTCGCCTTCCTTGGCAACGCTACAATGTGTAATGTACGCACACGATCACCAGCTTCCTGCACATTTGACTTTGTAATCACAATTATTATGTCTGGATTAAAGCCATCTTCGGTCACTTCTTGTGGGAAAAAAGCAAAAACATCCTGGCGACCTTTCAAGATTCCTTGACCAGCGGAATAGGCATTTGTAATGTGCGCATATTCAACCTCGATATTGGTCATTGTCATTGACGAAGCTCGACCGAGGGCGGTGGCAGGAGAGGACCATAATAGCTGAAGACTTTCACCATCTAAGCATTGAATCTCACCATCTTTCTTCACAATCAATATATCCGATTTTTTGATCGCATCCAATCCTGAAGAGGCTAAAGCACCCAAATGAACCACTGGCGCTTTCGATTGACTGAGCTTGTGTGTGACTGTTGTAGATTGTGATGTGCTAGTCCCTTCCGTAATATCATGGAACAATGTGATTTGATCCTCAGAGCCGGATGTCGAAACATATGTTCTTCGCTCGGTTTTGGTTTTCGTCGTTTTCGACCTGGAAGAGTATGGCGGGCAAGAAAATGAAGTGCCAGGAGGCAGAGCGTAAGAAGTAAGTAATTTTGAAGATGATACCTGAGAAGACATTAACATTTGAAGATACCCAAGAAATATCTATAATATCTTACATCGTATAAATTCACACCTTCTCCGTGAATTCCAACCGCCAATTCTGACCTCTTTCTTTTTTTTGATCCAGGTGAACCACCAAAGACTTCCCCAACTACATATTGGGCCTGTTTCGATCGCGGTAAAGTAGCGACCACGTATGGCTGCTGTAAAGATATTCTTGACGACATATTAACAATTGGAATTTTTGCGCAATCAATTCCAATGTATTGAAGCAGTGATTATGGATTTGCGCAAAGTAAAAAGATCCAAAAAGCTTTGAAATTTCTCTGAGCGGTGAAACAATTCTGCCGTGGCA